TTCCCTATCACACAAATATCTCTGTCTATACATCACAAGAACACAATATCTAGAACAAAATGGGTATTCGAAAAATGTAAGATAAAGTACTGCTTGTATGCTTGTTTGCTGAGTAGTGATATTGTGAAAATGCCACAGTATTTTATTCACATAGATTCCATGTCCAATCTAGCTTTAACCTTTTATGATTTATGACATTTGGATTTTCTGACATAGAATTCACTTTTAAAGCTGTCTCACTATTTTAAGACTATTTTTACCATTTGCGTGACAACTCCACTCCCTTTCTTTTTCTTCAACTCCAAAGTACTCTTTCTGCAAATATAGTGAATTTTGTAAAATCACGAAAATTAAAAGTGAACTCTCTTTAGCCATGTACTGTATTTCCCATGGTCTTTTACAGGATGAATCCCTCTAATATGTTTCTTAGTGCCTTTTACAGTTGTGTTTTAAACTGCCCAAGTGCTGGAGTACCTACCACTTCCCTTAGGGGAAGCTTTCCCACAAAATCGTGAATAAGAGTATCTCAGAGGTGTTCATGATACTTAGCTCATTGTTTTGCTCAGTTTCTTCCATCTTCCATCTTCTAAAGGGGGCATTATATTACCCCCTTTAGATCATGCAAAATAATCTGTCTGCCTCATTTGGGAACTACCAAGCATCAAGGCCCAAGACAAATTAGTTCTCAGAATTACCTAGAAGTTAGCAAAAGTACTTTTTAATACTAGTAACAGATAAAGGAGGAGAAGAAACTGAAACATGACTGAAAATAAAAGTACACTTTGGGTAGATTTTGTTATTTTATAAGGGGAAAGGAGTTTTTGTGGGGTTTTTTCACTTGAAAGTAAAAACAGGGACTTCCCTGGCGATGCGGTGGTTAAGAATCCGCCTGCCAATGTAGGGGACACGGGTTCAAGCCCTGGCCCAGGAAGATCCCACATGCCACAGGGCAACTAAGCCCGTGTACCACAACTACTGAGCTCACGCGCCTCAACTAGAGAGCCTGTGTCTCAACTAGAGAGCCCGGGTGCTGAAAACTACAGAGCCCGTGCGCCACAACTAGAGAAAAGAAAACCCGCATGCCACAACTACTGAGCCTGCGCTCTAGAGCCCACGAGCCACAACTGCTGAGCCCGCGTGCCACAACTGCTGAGCCCGCGTGCCACAACTACTGAAGCCCGCGTGCCTAGAGCCCGTGCTCTGCAACAGGAGAAGCCACCGCAATGAGAAGCCCACGAACCGCAAGGAAGGGTAGCCCCTGCTCTCAGCAACTAGAGAAAGCCCCCACGCAGCAATGAAGACCCAACACAGCCAAAAATAAATAAATAAAATAGAAAAAGTAAAAAATAGCCTCCTAGTCAATTAAAAGGCATTTGTGAAGGTAAATTCTAGAACTTATAATCTTTTAGGATAGCTTTTATTCAAGTGCCAGGATATAGAGAGTTCACTGGACCAAAATTTGTCTTCCTGATGATCTACAAAGCTACCTACATCTATAAGTACAATATATTCTGTTTTCTCTTCTGCCATCAGAGGTCAGCCCCTGCACCTGGACTCTGGATTCCTTCCCCTCCCACCTTCTTAAGGACTTTGGTCCAGGATTTATCCTTTTCTTTTGCACCATCATTTTCTTTCTCCCCACTGGACACATTTCTGCTCTAGGAACACTTAACTTTAAAAATCCCTACCTTGACCTTACATCTCCTTTGGGCTATGCCTCCTTTACTTGCTTCCCTTCACAGCAAAACATCTCAAAAGACATTTTGCATATTATTTCCACTCCTTCCCTTATTCCTCAGTCCAGTCTATCCTCTGTCTGTGCCATTCTGAGAAAATTCTCTTGTTGAGATCACCAATGATCTCCATCTAGCCAAGACCAGTTCCATTTTTGGTATCCAGTATTTATCAGCCTTCTCAGCAGCATTCAGTACAGTTGAGCACTTCTGAAACACTTTCCCCTATATTGCCTTTCATTGAGGCCACACCCCCT